TTTATACAATGCCCTTCTTTGTTTTTCTTTATGATCTTTCTTTTAAAATGTATTTTGTCATATGAGGGTTGCTACCCCAGCTTTCTTATCATTTCCATTGGCATAAAATAATTTTCCATCCCCAACTTTCAGTCTATTTTGTCTTTCATACTGAAGTGTGTGTCTTATAGACAGCATACTGTAGGTTTTCTTTTTTAAAAAAAAATCTAATCAGTCACTTTATGTCTTTTGATCAGAATATTTAGTCTGTTGATATATAAAGTAATTATTGATAGGTATGTAATTATTGATAGGTATGTATTTATGGCCATTATAATCTTTGCTTTCCAGTTGCTTTTGTAGTTCTTTGTTGATTTCTACTTCTTCCTCTTTATTTTTCTGTTTTGATGATTTCCTCTTGGGTAGTATGCTTGAGTTCTGTTATTTTTGAATTTTGTGAATTTGTTTGTTTTTGATGTGGTTAGCATGGAGTTTATGTATGTTGACTATATCTACTTGCTTTAGACTGATAGTCATTCAGGTTCAAATATATTCTAACAGATCTATATTTCACATCTTCATGCTTATCTTTTAACTGTTTATTGTAGTTATAATCACTTTTACAAGTCTTTTAATGTATTTTAAATCTACCTACTGACTTATTTAAGTGATCTTCAACCCTTACTATGTATTTTCCCTTCCTGTTTTGATTTTCCTACAGGTTCTTGCTTCTTTTCAATTTAGGAAGAATCTTTCAACATTTCTTTTAGGGTAAGTTTAGCATTGCTAAATATTTTTAGCTTTTGCTTGTCTGAAAAATTCTTTCTCTCTCCTTCTATTCTAAATTATAATCTTGCTGAGTAGAGTATCCTAGGTTGCATATTTTTCCCTCTCAGGACTTTGAATATATCATCACACTCCCTTCTGGCCTGCAAACTTTCTACAGAGAAATCAACTGATACTAATAACCTTTTAGGGGTTCTCTTTTAAATAACTCTGTTTTTTAATCTTGCTGCCTCTAGAATCATCTTTTTATCTTTAATTCTTGCCATTTTAATTATAATATTCATTTGTATGGATATGTTTGGGTTCATATTATTGGGGGGCCCTCTGAGCTTCCAATGCCTGAATATCTGCATTCTTCTTTAGGCTTGGGAAGTTTTCAACCATAATTTTTCCAAATACATTTTCTATTGCATTTTCTATTTTTTCTCTTTCTGGAATTCTTAATTTGCCTAGGTTGGCATGCTTTCAGTTCAGCCACTCAGTAGTGTCCAACTATTTGCGACCCCATAGACTGTAGCACGCCAGGCTTTCCTGTTTATCACCAACTCCCAGAGCTTGCTCAAACTCATGTCCATTGAGTCGGTGATGCATCCAATCATCTTATCCTCTGTCGTCTCCTTCTCCTCCTGCCTTCAGTCTTTCCCAGCATCAGGGTGTCTTCCAATGAGTCAGTTCTTTGCATCAGGTGGCCAAAGTATTGGAGTTGCAGCTTCAGCATCAGTACTTCCAATGAGTACTCAGGGCTGATTTCCTTCAGGATTGACTGTTTTGGTCTCCTTGCAGTCCAAGGGACTCTCAAGAGTCTTCTCCAACACCACAGTTCAAAAGCACTGAACTTTGCTTTCTTCAAAGCAATTCTTTGGTGCTCAGCTTTCTTGATAGTCCAACTCTCACATCCATACATGACTACTGGAAAAGCCATAGCTTTGACTAGATGGGCCTTTGTCAGCAAAGTAATGTCTCTGCTTTTTAATATGCTGTCTAGGTTTGTTATAGCTTTTGTTCCAGTGAGAAAGTGTCTTTTGATTACATGGCTGTAGTCACCATCTGCAGTGATTTTCAAAAATGCAAAATGGTTGTCTGAGGAGGCCTTAAAAATAGCTGAGAAAAGGAGAGAAGCTAAAGGCAATGGGAGAAAAGGAAAGATATACCCATTTGAATGCAGAGTTCCAAAGAATAGCAAGGAAAGATAAGAAAGCCTTCCTCTGTGATCAATGTAAAGAAATAGAGGAAAACAAAAGAAAGTGAAAGACTAGAGATCTCTTCGAGAAAGTTAGAGATACTAAGGGAATATGTCATGCAAAGATGGGCCCAATATAGGACAGAAATGGTATGGACCTAAAAGAAGCAGAAGATCTTAAGAAGAGGTGGTAAGAATACACAGAAGAACTGTACAAAAAAGATCTTCATGACCCAGATAACCATGATGATGTGATCACTCACCTAAAGCCAGACATCCTGGAATGCAAAATCAAGTGGGCCTTAGGAAACATCATGATGAAAAAGCTAATGGAGGTGATAGAATGCCACTTGAGCTACTTCAAACCATAAAAGATGATGCTGTGAAAGTGCTGTATTCCAGCTAATTTGGAAAACTCATCAGTGGCCACAAGACTGGAAAAGATCAGTTTTCATTCTAATCCCAAAGAAAGGCAATGCCAAAGAATGTTCAAACTATCACAGAATTGCACTAACCTCACACACTAGCAAAGTAATGCTCAAGATTCTCCAAGCCAGGCTTCAGCAGTGCATGAACCACGAGATTCCAGATGTTCAAGCTGGATTTAGAAAAGGCAGAGGGACCAGAGATCAAATTGCCAATATCTGCTGAATCATTGAAATGGCAAGAGAGTTCCAGGAAAACATATACTTTTTCTTTAATGATGACACCAGCCTTTGACTGTGTAGCTCACCACAAGCTGTGGAAAATTCTTCAAGAGATAGGAATAGCAGACCACCTTACTGCCTCCTGAGAAATCTGTATGCAGGTCAAGAAGCAACTGTTAGAACCGGACGTGGGACAACAGACAGGTTCCAGACCAGGAAAGGAGTACATCAAAGCTGAATACACCCTGCTTGTTTAGCTCATATGTAGAGCATGTCATGTGAAATGCTGGGCTGGATGAAACACACCCTGGAATCAAGATTGCCAGGATAAATATCAATAAACTCATATACACAAATGACACCACCCTTATGGCAGAAAATGAAGAAGAGCTAAAGGGCCTCTTGATGAAAATGAAAGATGAGAGTGAAAAAGTAGCCTTAAAACTTAACATTCAAGAAAGGAAGATCATGGGATCTGGTCCCATCATTTCATGGCAAATAGATGGGGAAACAATGGAAATAGTGACAGACTTTATTGTCTTGGGCTCTGAAATCACTGCAGATAGTGATGGCAGCCATGAAATTAAAAGATACTTGCTCCTTGGAAGAAAAGCTATGACCAATATAGACAGTATATTAAAAAGCAGAGACATTATTTTGCTGACAAATGTCTGGCTAGTCAAAGCTACGGTTTTTCCGGTAGTGATGTATGGATGTGAGAGTTGGACCATAAAGGTACCTGAGAGCCCAATAATTGATGCTTTTGAACTGTGGTGTTGAGGGAGACTCTTGAGAGTCCCTTGGACTGAAAGGAGATAAAACCAGTCATTCCTAAAGGAAATTCATCTGGAATATTCATTGGAAGTACTGATTCTGAAGGTGAAGCTCCAATATTTGGCCACCTGACATGAAGTGACTCATTGGAAAAGACCCTGATGCTAGGCAATAGTGAAGGCAAGAGCAGAAGGGGATGACAGTTATCAACTCAATCACCAACTCAATGGACATGAGCTTGACCAAGCCCCAGGAGTTGGTGATGCACAGGGATGCCTGGTATGCTGCAGTCTATGGGGTCGCAAAAATTTGGACACTACTGAGTAACTGATCTGCAGAAAAAAAAATTAACTGTGTGTCAAGTGGTTTCTCAAATCCAGTCTCTTTTAACCTGGCCACCATTTCTGAGAGATTTGTGTCTTTTCCCGCAATTAGTTTGTGAGTACTTTGAGCTGAAAGGGAAGGCTGAAGCTCACACAGGTAGTTTGTAATAGAACTTGGATTTGAACCTAGAGAATCTCCGAAGAGCTGCCTCTGAGATGTCTATACCATGAGATGACTGACAGGTGTAGGGGGCCTACCAGTTTAGCCAATGTGCCCTTCGTAAAGCTGCTGTCAGTTTCTACTGCATTTATACACAAGGCAACTCCATACCAGCATTAACACATCCTTCCCAGGACAGTTTCTCTTAATGTCAGCAAGGAAAAATGGTTTATTTGTATCCCTGAGGGCCCATAATGTAGCAAAACAGTCACATTCTTCATTAGCAGCCCAGGATAGACAGTTAGGGAATGCTTTTATTTTTTATTTTTTCAAATTGTTTTGCTATTTACTGAATTAACAAATGAATTCCAGGAATGCCTGTCTTATTTGCAAGATGTCTCTGAGTGAAGAGAGACAGGCTGAGGTAGGCTGAGTGGTCCCAGCCTACCCTTATCCTGTGGGTGATGCTGGTAAACCAGTTTAAGGTGTGGAGGGCCACTACCGGGTCCCCCCCTTGAGCCATCCCTGGGCCTTGACTTCTGCCACCTCACCTCTCAATGGGAACTCTGTTACATGAAGAACTTAGGAAGCCCCCAGGACTAAAGTATCCGTGAGTGGGGCCACTTTCCAAGTGACCAGAGAGAAGCGAGGACCAAGAGATGACACCACCTCGGCCACTTCTCTCTATATGGACTATGGAAGAGGGGCGTACATCACACAGAACTACTCAGGGTTTTTATAACAAATCTCAAAATTGAACTAGTGTTTAATGTCTGAGAACAAAATCAAACCAAAGTTTCCTTCTCACTTGGGTTTCCAACGTGAGGACATCTTAAACTCAGTGCTCCCTTAGATAGTTCTACAGGGACAGTCCCTGACCGGTGGAATCCCTGATGAAGGCAGGCATGGTAGTGGAACTCACTGCCCCCTTCTGATGGGTCCCTCAGCAGCGCACAGGTGGGAGGCCGACAGCACATGTTGAGGGCGCCCTCTGCTGGGGCTGCATGGCCTCATCGTCTGGCCAGGACCAGGGTCACTGTGGTCGAAATCAGGCTGGAGCAGAGGAACCAGTGGCTTGGGTTGTCCTTGGGAGGGGTGGGAAGTGGGGGTGGGGTGGGGCTTGGGGGCAGGGCCCCCTGGACCCTGGGGGATCAGCAGCTCCGAGGGGTGGACAGGAGGGGAGCTGTGAAGAAGCAGTGGTGCAGCAGGGCCTGGGAGGCAGAGACGTGCTGCTGTGGTGGGTAGAGGAGCAACCGCCCTAGCAGGTACAAGGCCTGGGGAGAGGCGTCGGGCAGCACCTCCTCCAGGGGCGCGGGCGCCTGCTCCTTGAAGGAGATCTTGTTGCAGTCAGGCAGCTCAGTGATCTGCGGCCAGACTTGACGACTGGGGGTGCCCAAGATTCGAAGCACACAGCAAAGCTGTTCGATGTCAGTCTCTCCTGGGAAAAGGCGGGTGGGGGGGGCATTCACCAGCTCCCCCAGGATGCAGCCCAGAGGTCGACACCCTGATCATACTGGCGGGCACCATACAGGAGTTCGGGGGCTCGGTACCACCTGGTAGCCACCTGGTGCGTGTGGAGGCAATTGCCATCTGGGGAAAAGACCCGGGCCAGGCCAAAGTCCGCTACCTTGAGCTGGCCTGAGGCACTGATAAGCAGGTTGGCTGGTTTCAGGTCCCAATGCACAATGTTGTTGGCATGGCAGAAGGCGACGCCCTTGGGCAGCATCTGTAAATAGCTCTTGACCTGCGCCTGGGGCAGTGGCCTCTGGGTGTGGTGCACCACCTTAGCCAGATCTGACAGCATGAACTCGAAGGCAAGCATGAAGCCTGTGCCATGTGGGAACACGGCCTCCAGCTGCGCAACTGACTGTCTTCGATCTCCTGCAGGGCCTTGATCTCCTCCAGGACCTGGTTAGGGATGCCATCCTCCAACCCCTGCAGGGCCACCTGCTGCATCATTGAGGGCAATGATCTCTCCAATCTTCACGTGCTTGGCTTTGAAGACGATGCCGTTTGTACCCTCCCCTATGCTCCCTAAGATGCAGTACTACTCCATGGCCCTCTGCCTGGCACCCTGACCCTCCATAGTCCCAGCCACTCCCCGGCACCGGACCCTTCCTCGTTAGCCCTCCCCGGCTCCCGCCCCAGATGCGGCTGCCTAGCAACAGCGTGGAAACTAGAGCCCGGACCAGGAGGCCGAGGGTGACTAGGGATGGTGTCCAGGCCTCTCAGTGCCTTTCCCTAGGACCTCGCCATCGCGCCTCAGTGCGCTTCACTCAGCGGAAGCCTTCCGTGCACAGACCGTGCGGCGGGAGCGATGGTCACCGCTGATCCCTCCCAGCTCTGCCTAGCACCACGTGACCAGGGATGGGGAATGGTTTTAAAAACAAACAGTGTCTCAATAAAGAATTTTGGAAATAACCCACTGTCCCCTTATTTCTCTGTTTCACTATTGCTCTGCTAATTTCTGTCATTCTAAAAAGGAAGACTCCTAGTTAGATATGCAAAAAGAGTGCCCTCATGTGGGGAGCTGCAGCATCTCTAACACTGTGCTCACTTCTTTCTCCAAATCATGAGAACACCAAATACCCTGCAAGACCAAGTGTGGCTTCGGCTCTGTCTCTCCTAGGTCAGGTCAGTTGAGCCATGGTGCACAGGATCCTTGCAAGAGAACCATTCAAAAGTGCAGACAAGACATCTGGAAGTGCACTGCCTCACCCTGCCCCCTGTATCAGGATGGCTGAAATAGTCACCCACCAGAAGAACAAACCAGGTCAGGCCACTAACTACAGGCCAGGGACTCTGCCAGGCAATGGTAATACACACAGTGGAGGGCAAAACAGACAAGGCTCTGCCTACAGGGGCCAAATCACTTAGCAGAAGAGACGTTCTTAAAGTACTGATCACAGTGAGGCTTATAAATTTACAAACTGTTGTCAGGATTGTGAAGTCTATGGGAGAATGCAGTAGGAGCCCTGGCTCAGTGGAGGGGAAGGGTGTGAAGGCTGTCAAAGGACACTTTCATGAAGAAAGCCAGAGAAAAAACATAGCAAAGTGACTTTCTAAGCTCAGATTGGCCACTACATGACACTGAATGATTTCTCCACCCATAAAACCAGGGCTGTGATAATATTAGCTCCTATTTCCCAGCTTGTTGAGAGTGTTAATGCCTTGAGAGTGGCAAAGTGCTTAGAAGGGTGCCTGACATGAGAATGCTACAGTGTTTGCTGACTAGTTGTTGTTCAGTTGCTCAGTCATATCTGACTCTTTGTGACCCCATGAAATGCTGTGCATCAGGCTTCCCTGTCCTTCACTATTTCCCTGAATTTGCTCAAATTCATGTCCATTGAGTCGGTGATGCCATCCAACCATCTCATCCTCTGTCATCCCCTTGTCCTCTTACCCTAATCTTTCCATCATCAGGCTCTTTTCCAATGAATCCTCTCTTTGCATCAGGTGGCCAAAGATTCAGAGCTTCAGCTTCAGCACCAGTCCTTCAAATGAATATTCAGGACTGATTTCCTTTAGGATTGACTGGTTTGATCTCCTTGAAGTCCAAGGGTCTCTCAAGAGTCTTTTGCAGCACCACAGTTTGAAAGAATCAATTCTTTGGTGCCCAGGCTTCTTTATGGTCCAACTCACACATCCATACACGACTACTGGACTAGAGGACTTCTGTAAACATAGCCCTGAAGGGCAAACTGAAACTAGCAAGCCAATGGTGAGAAAACAGGTTCCAGGCAGAAAGAATGACACAATGGGAACCTCTGAGGCTGGCAAGACTGTGGATTTTGAGGCAACAAGGCAGCCTGCAGAGACCATGCCACAGGGGAGTAGGCATAAGAGAGGTAAAGAGGAAGTTAGGTCTTAGAGAGGACTCTCCAGCTCACTGTAGGCAAAATCAAGCTTCTGAAGTGCCTAGAACAGAAGAGGGGCATCCCAGAGTAATGGTTTAGAGAGAGAGATAGCTGACTTGGATGCAGGGACAAAAAGGGAGAGGAAGTTAAAAAGAAGGCAACTATCTGAGTGCAGGCTTTAGCTTCTACTCTGTTGTACTCTACTGGTCAATCAGAATGGGAGGGTATTCTGTAGGTACTGGATGGCCTTTTCTCTGATGATGGGAAATTTTGTGGTCAGATCTGGCTTTGTAAATATGGTTCCATACATGGTGGGTAGAAGTTGAGGAAGCTTCCCTCAGGTGCAGCATACATGTTATATAGCCTTTTGGATGGCTCTGTTTGAAATTTTCAAAGCTCAAGGGAAATATTCTCTGCTTTGTGTCCCTGGGCTCCTAAACCTAGCATAGACCTTCTTCATCCACTGTTTTCTGCAGAGTCAGGATCTGATGGAAAGTGAAATCACAATCTTATGCAGGATTGGAAATCTAATTGAGAAGAATAAAGTCCTCCACATCCAGTGTTAACCCCCTTTTTGATAGAGGTAGGATCTTTAAAAATAATAACAACAACATTGAAATTTTGTGGAAGGTAAAGGGGCACTTTGACTCACTTAAATTTATTTAATATCAATATAGTAGGGAAGCCAGTTGCAGTGATGTCATGAACATGGAACACAGATGTTTCAAATTAAATGTGCAACCCCAGAACACATGTGGATTTTGATATATTCAAGGTAAAATTTTCCCCTGTCATTCTGGTATTTTAACCTTGGTTTTATTACATTTGTCTTTATAATGTCAAGTGGAGAGTGTCAAACACTAAGATTTAAATTAAATTAGCCTGACCTGAGATGCACATGCAATATGAAGCTGCAATAAATGTTTTGATTAAATTTCTAAGACTTAACATGTTGATGCTTATAACTGTGTGGAGGGGACCTTAACAGTTCCCATCCCTGCTAAGTTACTGTCATCTACAAAATGAATTTATTTCATTTGAGCACCTGTTTTGGCCAGCCCATGACCTTTTCTGGAAATTGATACAGATTAACTCATGAGCATAAAATTCAAATTGTGTTAGAATGTTGATGGTTTTTCACCTCAGCAGTTAATGCTTCCTCTCAGTTCAGTTCAGTTCAGTTGCTCAGTCATGTCCAACTCTTTGTGACCCCATGGATGGCAGCACACCAGGCTTCCCTGTCCATCACCAACTCAAAGCTCACTGAGTTTGAGCTTACTCAAACTCACGTCCATCAAGTCAGGGATGCCATTCAACAATCTCATCCTCTGTTGGCCCCTTCTCCTCCTTCCCTCAATCTTTCCCATCATCAGGGTCTTTTCTAGTGAGTCAGTTCTCCACATCATATGGCTAAAGTATTGGAGATTCAGATTCAGCATCAGTCCTTCCAATGAATATTCAGGACTTATTTCCGTTAGGATAGCTTGGTTAGATCTCTTCACAGTCCAAGAGACTCTCAAGAGTCTTCTCCAACACCACAGTTCAAAAGCATCAATTCTTCAGTGCCAAGTTTTCTTTATAGTCCAACTCTCACATCCATACATCACCACTGGAAAAACCATAGCTTTGACTAGACAGATCTTTGTTGGCAAAGTAATGTCTCTGTTTGTTAATATGCTATTTAGGTTGATCATAGCTTTCATTCCAAGGAGCAAGCATTTTTTAATTTCATGGCTGCAGTCATCATCAGCAGTGATTTTGGAGACCCCAAAATAAAGTTTGTCACTGTTTCCATTGCTTCCCTATCTATTTGCCATGAAGTGATGGGACCAGATGCCATGATCTTAGTGTTCTGAATGTTGAGTTTTAAGCCAACTTTTTCACTCTCCTCTTTCACTTTCATAAAGAGACTCTTTAGTTCTTCTTCATTTTCTGTCATCAGGGTGGTGTCAGCTGCATATCTGAGGTTATTGATATTTCTCCCAGCAATCTTGATTCCAGCTTGTGCTTCCTCTAGCCCAGCGTTTCTCATGATGTACTCTGCATATAAGTTAAATAAGCAGGGTGACAATAGGCAGCCTTAATGTAGTCCTTTCCCCATTTAGAACCAGTCTGTTGTTGCCCGTCCAGTTCTAACTGCTGCTTCTTGACCTGCATACAGATTTGGTCTGTGGTCAGGTGGTCTGGTATTCCCATCTCTTTCAGAATTTTCCAGTTTGTTGTGATCCACATAGTCAAAGGCTTTGGTATAGTCAATAAAGCAGAAGTAGATGTTTTTCTGGAACTCTTGCTTTTTCGATGATCCAAGGGATGTTGGCAATTTAGATGCCACCAAACTCTTTGAAGATGGATATCTGGAACCTTAAAAGTGAAGTGAAAAGTGAAAGTGAAAATTGCTCAGTTGTGTCTGATTCTTTGTGACCTCATGGACTATATAGTCCATGGAATTATCCAGGCCAGAATACTGGAGTGGGTAGCTATTCCCTTCTCCAGGGCATTTTCCCAATTCAGGGATTAAACCCACTTCTCCTGCATTGTGGGCAGATTCTTTACCATCTGAGTCACCAGGGAATCCCAAGAATATGGGAATGGGTAGCTTATCCCTTCTCGAGGGGAACTTCCTAATCCAGGAATCAAGCTGCCTGCATTGCAGGCAGATTCTTTACCAGCTGAGCTACCAGGGAAGCTCTTGGGAACTTAATACAACCAAAGTCAAATGCCCCGTGAATATCACAGTTCCGGGTAAGGATGGGGGAACACTGCTCAGGGTTGTGGCTTCTGAAGTCAGTTAGAGGATAGCCTTCTCTGCTCCTGCTCTGCAATTTGAGGAGATGGGTACTTTCCAAGGTTTGTACATCTATTACCTTATTTGCCATTCAGTTCATGTGACAGCTAACACTAAGATAAATGAAAATATATTATATGAAATAGTTCATTAAAAAAAGCT